GTTCACAAAAGGATCAAACGAGTATACGGAATAAAAACTAATAAATAAATGGAAATAGATCGTCAGCTGTACGCCGTAACGGCGCTTCGCTGCCGCACGACCACCAGCAGTCGCGCGTTGGATGAGTATGCTGCGAGGATGTCCGTGCCTACGAGGAATCGAACCGGTGACCTTATGATTGCAGACCACTCGGCCACTGGTGGCCGCATACGACAAGATGAGAAAGGAAGCTACCTAGGCAAAAAAACCCAAAAATAGCCAAAACGTGGAAAGAAACAAATGGAAAAACAAACACGGTTTCAAAATACCGGGAAAAATGTAATCAGTACGCAAATCAAACTGCTTATAATGCCATAAGTTAATTGGCTGCTTAAGTTTGGTAAGTTTCGTCGCTTGGGGGTTATCCTGTCCTCTTTGCGGCAGTAACGTTCAAGTCAGCGGATAGCGAGCTATATATCACATCTATATATCTATATACATCTATATATCTAGCTATATATCTATCTATCACATCTAGTAACGATGGTCGCTGCCGTCCACCGTAGCTTTTCAGGGCGTATGATGCCTGCCTGGGTGAGTCTAGATGTGACGAGTTTCTACCTATACCATTTAACTCCCCATAGTACTCCTATGAAAATATAATCGTTGTGCAAATGCACATCTACGAGTCGAGGTCACTACAGTCCATTTTAAGGCAACCCTTCGAATTGTGAATAAGATGGTATGGTTAGGGAATACTCAATGCATTCCCAAACTGTTAGTAAAAATCGTGGAACTTTCGGTGACTCAGCGCTCGCTCATTCAGAAGCTGTAATGGGTAAGTTAATACACTGCGCCTCGTGAATTGCTTCGTTCGGTTACGAGGTTTATACCCGACGGGAGTGCGTGGACATTCAAGCTGCGATTTGTGCAGTGAAATCAAGCAAAAAATGGACTAGCATATAACAATGCGCAAACAAGTGATCTACTGTTGGGGCGCATGGCCGACTGTCCCCAACATCAGTTTTACACGATGAAAAATACAGCGGCAAATTAGTGTTGTTGTCCGTTTTGGCCAACAAAAACGAGCAAGTATAGTGATGGTATCGGAGCTGTAATCTTTGGCTTTGTGTGTCCCCAAAGCAGCGCTACCCGAACAGAGATTTGTTAGGATTATCATGCCGGCCCGTAGCCAAAAGATAACACATTTGTATCGCAATCTGACGGCGCGGGTTCGAGCCTGTGTAGGGGCAGGGCGACCCTCGCAATATCCTTAGTGCACGTGCGACCGGCAGTGGTTGCGCGGCAGCATAGCGTCTGCATTGCGTACCGGCGTATTGTTGATGCACTACCTGCCTAGGAGCATCATACGTATGAACAAAATACTTAAGCGTGGTAATAAGTTCTTACCCCCGCAAAAGGTGAAGTACACTGGGAATGACATAAATGCTCAACTGTTTCCATTGAAGATGAGCGTGTACAAAAGCTGACAATCATAGCCATCGAGCCGAAGGGTCTGCTTTGACACAGCCGACTAACTAATAAGCGACCCACCACTCATTGAGGTAAGCGAAACAGTTGATTCACTGCCTACCCGCAAGTGGAGCTAATGAGAGTACACCTTACAAAGGCACATGACAAAACCAACCAAAAGACGACAATCCACCTGTTAAGTTCATGGGCATTTTAATTTCTAAATGGAGTGAGCTATGGAAGACACCTGTTGTGCGTAGTCTAAATCAGGCTTCTTGAAACAGACGCAAATCTCATGAAACAAAGTATGCAATGTCACATACAAAATTTCACGAGTACAGGATCCGCGCAACGAATAGAGGTGGATCCAGTCAATTCCTACCACCTTAGATAGTAAGAATAATAAATAGAAATTACTCAAGATAGCAAACTCATCAGATGCAGTAACGTGGCAGATCGGCTCAAGGATTCCCAAAACTGCATCCGGCTAAGAACAATAAACTCTTAAGGAGATAATACATGTAGCATGCGGTCGATGGTCCACATAGACGACTGATAATACTCGCGACCCCAAAAGATGAAGTAGCTTGCTATAAGATTAACGCTTCTGAGAGAATGAAGGTGCTCCATTGTATAGCCGATGACCTGTCGGTCATTGCAGTGTGTGCGGGAGATAATGAACTGATGCAGGACACACTTCGCGTGGCCGATGTCAGCGTAACGATGTTGCCCAATTGATTAGTGTAAAAATAACAAAGTTAACTAGATGATGGATGTTACTCGTTCAAAAAAACATTGCACACCACGATCGAATTCGAACTTATCTGACCTGAACAGGTTGAGGTATTGGGTGCACAGACCGGAGACCCATAGAATGTTAGTTAGGACCGCTACACCTTAAGCCACCGGGTCCCGACGGTTCACACTCGGTACACCGGTTAATGTCTGATCGGAGGGTCATTTGAGGTTCTCGTTGTGTGATTTAATTGCGACGCGCAATCCCGCTGAAGTGAACCTTGATCAATGCGATCACTAGGACCGTAGTCGGAGCACATGGCAACTGGGTGCTGCCCACTCGAGAAACTGCACACGACGATGTGTTTCGACCTTGTTCTATCTCATCAGGTAACGATAGTAAGCGAAACTAGCGTCTTACAGAGTTTCTAGGGGACATCCAGAAACCGCACAACGGTACAATGGAAGCACATAGGGATATTAAGAAGAATAAAACGGCAATGGTAGAAAGGAAGTGATCTGGATGGAAAAGAAGCAATAGTGTCAAGTTGAATGCCATAAAAGAGTAGCTGCAACAAAGGTCATATGCCCTGGGATACTGCAACGGAAATAAAAGTGCGAAGCGGCCAAATTCGCCGCAGAGCATGTTAAACGGTAACAAAAGAGCACAGAGATAAGTGTCAATACCACTGACTAATCGGCTGCCACTATACAACGTTGAATTATCGATTAAACGGTTTTCAATGGCGCATCCATTCCATTGCATGCTTTGCGTTGGTGATTTTGCGAACATTCGTTGCATCTAGGCCCAAGCAGACAGCATCACACATAGAGGAAGGCGCTAAACGGCCGTTCCGTTCTGTTGGCACTCGTCAATAGCGCGCATTCGCAGGATTTGGTCAGATCCGGATCCATAACCTTATTATTACGGGTCTGCAATAATAACAAATAATGAATGATGTGTCAGCTGTATGCCGTAACGGCGCTTCGCTACCGCGCGACCAGCAGTCGCGCGTGAGCTGTATACCGCAAGGACGCCCGCTCGTAAGCGGATTCGAACTGGTGACCTTACGGTTGCAAACCAAACACGTAGACCACTCGGTCACCGGGTCTGCGGCTTAAGACACGGAACCATAGGTGATGGCTTCGGACCGTCATGACTGATATCTAACTGCGATATAGAGTTGCTCATTGTTCCCTCTTATGTACGCTACGAACATGCAGAGAACAGGGCTGCCTCCCAGAGCTACGAGTCCCTTTGCAGGTCACCACAAATCGAGAAGGCATGTAAGCTGCTAAGGCAATTACTGAGTAGTTGAAGGTAGCGTGAGGTTTATAGTGCGAGAGTAATAAATAGTAATAAAATAAATCGCCAGCTGCACGCCGTAACGGCGCTTCGCTGCCACGCGACAACCACCAGTTGCGCGTGGGCTGAGTATACCACGAGGAAGCCCACCCCTACGCGAGAGTTGTTGAAGCTAGTTAGAGACAGCCACCACACATCCAGGGAAACGTTTCACAGCCGTTTCATTGTATCGGCACTCGGTAGTAGTGCGTATCGTTGTGTTAATCTGCGACCAAATATAGATTCCTCATAGAAAAGTGTAGATGAACTAATGAGAAGGGGACACACCTATGTAGCTTGTTCCTAACATTTCAATAGGTGTCCAAGTTACAGTGTCGTTTCTTCGAGTTGATAATTTGCATGTAGTTGTGAAATCACCTCACTTCAGTGATTGACAGCGGTGAAATTACGATTAGTTCACTCAGTGCGTGGTAACTCAGTCTTTCAGTTCCTAAATCTGTCAAGATCCTCAAACACTCGTGAAACACCTCGAAAATTCAAGCTCCTATATTTACTCTCAAAGTAAATAGTTTCATGCAGTCAGTAATTAAATTTACACTCTTGCTACCGATGCTCTAGCTTCCCGAAACCCAACAATTTGCTTAGGTTCCTCCAAAAAGGACAATGCGTTGGTAGTGCAGTTAATAAGCTAGAGTTTCATTTGCAACCGTTTAGCTAGATCACTAGATGAATTATGAATTCGTATTTCCGCTTGCTACTGTATCCAAAGTAATAGAGTAGGTTAAAGTGTAAAGATTCGATAAATGCTAAAGGTAATGGAGCTCGTCGCAACTGGCTTACAAGCCAGGGTGCTTGGCTATCATACGGGAAAGGCACCAGGCGATCGTTTCATCCCCCTGGAACTCGTCAATGATGAGTATTCCACCGGTATGCTCCAGGGAACCGAACGCATGACCGCCAGTGGCTTGCAACACCAACCAGCAACTGTGGCTAGAGTCATGCGGACGGTAGCTAGGCGTCATGGGTCGTAAACTAACTGACAAGCTCCAAACGAACGAAACGGTCGTCTGATGTTTTCCGGATCGATAGTTAGGCTATCCGGCTTGTAAGCAAGTTGCGACGAACTCAACTATTCACTAAAATTGTTCTACTGATAAGCAAATGATAGGTGCTTCCCACTCGCTACAATGTACTCCACACGACCGATTTCGGAGTTATTCGCACGCTCCATGTAGGCATAGCAGGACTGTGAGTCGAACCCCAGACGACGCATATGGATGCCAGCCGACGCCTCCAGTCTAAAACCAGTGAGTTTCGTTCAAACCTGGTTCATGTTAACTTCACTTGGCTCTTGCTGCACAGTACCGTGGCGCTTGGAGCAAAACCAGAGAACCGAAGCCAAATAAGATTGTAGACAGAAGAAAGACGCTTACACCTGTTTAACCCGACTTACAGCGGTTGGCACCGATAAACCAAACATAGAAACACAAAGTGGGGAAGTACATACCATCACCGGCGTGAAAAAACCAGTTCGGTTTTGCTGAGGATCGTAGGTGTTGCATATGTTTGTCTCTAATGCCAATGGAGTCCGATGTGGTCGAATCCGTAAGAGCGAGACCGTAGAGCAGTTCATTCTTGTTGAACTGGGAGGCCTCGGAAGGAAAACCAAAAAGTCCCTCTGCCCGTGCGTTCCCATGGGAGCCTTTAAACACGGTCATCGCAGCTTCGGCCATGAATGACAGCGCTGATAACTCGTCCGACTCGTTTCGACAATGCGCGGCGAATCGAGGGAGGTTGCCCTGCCAGTAATGTGTATCTGCAACATGAAACACCGGTTTGATCCCATTGGAGCCACCACGTCCACCGGTTCCTCCATCACCACCTGGGCCACCATTCCCTCCTGAACCTCCGCAGCCTCCTCGCACGGAGATCAGCAATGGAAGAATAGGCTGATGGCACAGTGAGTCAGCTTCCGGACGAACATCCACAATGAAGCAGATGCGACGGTCGATGTAAATTTCGACTGACTGTGGTTGGGGATCTTCGTCCACCTCAAGGTCGGACCCACTACTCGCTCTCTGCTTGGATCCGGAGTAACGAAGCATGACCTGGTCATAGGGAAAAGACATGTACGGCTATCAAAAAGCATTAGATTGGACCGAAAAAGTGAAATGTCTTGAGAAAAAGTAAGGTGATTTTATCAAGAGTAGGTTACTCAGCAATCACCGAAATGAGGCCTAGATGCGAGTGTAAAGACCAGGAGAAAGTATAATCAAAGTGTAAACCACTTCGCGAGTAAAACCCAGGCTCGATAGTGGTTAGTAGTAGTAGTGTCTGGGAGTGCAAAGTGTTGTTTCGACAGACTACTTTTGGTAAGTGGGGAAAACAGATGCCAACGAGAAAGGTGATGGACTGCTAGTATAGCCTGTCCTAAATGTTTACCGATCGTGGGTAAAATACACTCAGGTGTCACGCCTGAGAAATACAACACAACCAATTATCCTGGATTGCGGCTACTTGATTTGATCTTCACTAAATCCGGGGGAGATTGAAAGCTTGCAGAATAGGTAATCAACGGGATTTTTTTAACAAGCCTTAAGGCTTTCTACAGCATAGTTCTGAGCAATTGGTATAAAGGCAATCTCTTTATTTGCATTCTAAGTAACTCAGTGTTGCGACACATCAACAGACTAAGCTTTCAATTATGGGTAGTAACTATATCCCTAAGGTGGTTATCACAAAAACCAAGGTCCTGCTGTAGAGCCGGAAGTGAGAAATTGGGATAGTCATTGATTTGTCAGCAGGAATGTGATGAGCGGGATTGCAAGAATGGTTCTGACATTTCTTAGGTTACCGTAGGAATATTAGTCAATTACAGAAATACACAACACCAGCCAAACCGAGAGAAAAGTAAGTTAAAACCTCGGTCAACTCAATGCTAGGAAAGTAAGCAGATTGGAAGAGTTATTAATTGCTTTGGATCCATCCTTCGTACAGACTAACGGTAAGATTTTAATGATTCATCGCAGCGGCTAACAGGTCAGATAGTCCAATTACCTATCCGAAAAAGCCCCAGACAGCCATTTCTCCCTATCAGAGCCAGTCCGTGGTGCCCACCTTCAGGATCCATCAAGAACCGAATGTACGACCGTTAGCACCATGCGCGCCAACTGGACAGCGGTTTACACCATTGTGCTATAGGGGGGACGGTGGCAGACCATCAAAACTTGTGTGCTAGCGGGGATGTAGCGAGACACATCCTCCACTTCATTTCAGGTTTCTACCATTACAGAGGACAATGCCTGATCTGCTTAGGTCACTCATAACAGTTATGTACGCGTAGAATTTGAACGCACTGAAGGAAAAGCAAACTGGTGAGTGTGTCGCTGCCATTTCCAGAGCATCGCAGCTCGCGACTGTGTTGAATCCAGTGTGTGAAACAGTGGGCTTCGAACTGAACTAGCCGCCCTCGAGAGAAATTTGCTGCGGTGCCGGGGTTGTCGGAATATGGCCTGAGCCGAATAAACCTTTTGAAGATGTCGCAGCATCAACTTCCCGCAGTTTCAACATTTGTTCTACTATTCCATAACAAGATTCAACTGTACTCAACGGTAGTAAATATGTCAAAGAAAATACTGTAGCGAACTGCTGTTTAAATTCGGGGTTCACTTACGTGGCGGAATGCCTCAGCCACATAAGCAGTGCAAAATTTTTAACCAAACTCGAAACGAGCATCGAATGGTACCAAGCGTGAATAGACATGATAGAAACGTGATAATCAGAACGCAATTGGGCTGCGGGTTCGAGCTACACAGGGGTCGGGAGTGTGGTGGGTGTGAGTGATGGCTGTGTGAATAAATCCAGATTTGATGAAGTTTTACTCAAACCATTGAAATCCATATATTACTCTCTTAAAGTCAGTACGCAGGTCAAGCTGCCTATAATGTCAAAATTTAGTGGTATCTTAAGTTTAGTAACTTCGTTGCTCGGTGGGAGGTACTCTGTTCTGTCAATGGTAGTAACGTGCAAGACAGGGGATATTCAGGGGCGCTAAATCACATGTAGTAACGAAATCAAGTCGTTCGTTACTATCCCCCGTAGCACAGTGATGGTCACCACGGACTGATGACAGTTGGGTTGCAGGTTCTAGAACCAAGGCGGTCAGATCAAATGTGCACTGCTGAGGATCCTTGAAAGGATGAAACGACCGTACAGTGCTTGTGCTTGCATGTGATAGCTGCTTGACTGGGTCTGGATGTGAGGAACTTCAAACAATAAGAGAAAATTTGATGTCGCTAGAATATATCTACTCTGTGTGTAGATTGCCAAAAGCAATCGGGACTGCGACTTGCTACGGAGTAAACCAAAGTTTCAGTCGCCGTCAATTTCATTATCTCATGTGTTGCACTCTGACGCACAAGCGACGATGAAAGTATGCAGGGATTGAAAGCGAATAACACCAGCCATTTACTTAGTGCACATAAGGTTGCAGTAATCGAGGTGTCCGTGGCTCATTTGGAATTAGATAGCAGCACAAAGTGACATGGTGTGCCACCAGTTATACATACTACGGCAAATCCAGAGACCCAGACATGAAATTCAAGGCGTGCTCGCAGACCTCATAGGCTTAGTCATAAAGAAGTCCATTGGCATCAATGTTAAGCGGGATTCGAGGTTGAGCTGCGACAGCTGCTGTCATCGAATCCTCGGTTATGTATTCTTCGAAATACTCTGGTTCCAGTACCCGAAGTTAGTTAGTTACTTAGGTGGTTAGGCAGTGGTAGTTTAAAGATATATTTTGCCTCTTTCCACTTCCAACTTGGGGGCTAAGGTGTAAGTTGGCCGCATGACATGGGACCGTGTGAGCTGCGAGTTAGGATGCCCGCTTACATCTCGGGTAAATCTCATGATTATCGTGGTCATGCATTTCATACCATGTACATTATTCGCTAAAATGCAACTTTTATTTCTGTGAAATCGTCCGTCAGAAGATCACTTACTGATGGAGAACACGTTAAACGCGCATGACAATGCGGCACGTACTAGAAGGGACGAAATTGGTACACATCGCCCAGTTTTTCAGTAGTCTCAAGTAAAGAAAAGTGAAATCTTAAATGGATAGTTGTGATTCCGGTGTCACATAATTGATAATCCGGCTACCCGAAGTAGCTATCGACGATGGATCCGTTTGTATCATATTTATGGGATCTGCTCGTTACTCAAAGGCAACCTAGGTATTAATCCGCAATACACATTCGGTGTAATGTGTAATGAAAATCTATTCGTATTTTGACAGGCCAATTTATTCGTGAGAGCTTTCAAGTCAGAAAACCAATCACGCAAACATAAATGCATCAAATAGCCGCCTCGTGCAGTTAGGAATCGTCAGTGGTGAGCATCCACCGCTTCATCAGGATCCGAATCCATGACTTCTCGACACTAGCGGCATGAGTCATTCCACAGAAATTCGTGCCATTAAGCCATGTAGCACAACGGTGCACCGCTATGGCATACAAACCTAATGCGATAAAGCACATCCCATCCTCAAATGTCATGGAAGTTATGAATGTCGCAGGGTACGACTGGCCCAAGGAGTAACGGCTTCCACTAACAGCCGCTATGTACAACTATGTACGACGTAGCTGTAGTGGCGAGTATTTTAAAGTACTCATGAGCAAGAACTTTTTGGTGTAGTCTATATTGAGAGCACATCTCAGTAGTTTCTAAGTCAGAGAGTAGTCCATACGCCACAAGAAAGTTGAAAAGGAGAAGCGAGGTGAGGGGATGGTCGAATTCTGCTTATTTAACCATTTTTAGTGGTAGAGTCTGAGTGCAGATCTAAACGCGTGCACTCAAGTAACGGACATGTTAGTGACTACAGGAAAGCTGAATAGTTTACGGTTGAATAGTATACTAGGAAGACCAAAAGTAAAGCTGGGAGCGAAAGAGGCGAAAACCAGATTGTAATCGGTACTATGCGCAACTTGATACTCAAAACAGCGTGAAGAAAATGTACGTGAACACAGCGAAAATATAAATATGAGCACGGAGAGTGAACTAAGGCAACATAATTACACATTAGATGAAAGTGAGGAACACACTTCAACTACAGTGCCACAAAACAAAAGAATTAGGTATGCAAAAGACCGTGACAGTAAACATTATAAAATAGGAAAATAGGTGACACACTGATTAGTAACATAGTATGCGTCAAGAAAGATCGCGGATGGATAGGGAAGATAAGCGGAATGGGGACGGACAAAGAAAGTCGCAACACAAAGGCCATGTCAACTAGTGTATCCCACCAGACGCGTTCAGCTTCCAACAGTTCTCAGCCTGTAAATCCGGAAGCGCGTGGGGCTAACTACTATCCTCTGCACGATTCGTAACTGGCACGACAGTGGAAGACAACTGTCAAGCAGGCAGGTCTGCAGTTGTCACCCATGACGGAGTGGCACTGCTGCTGACATCCGGAAGTCATCCGATGGAAGGCGCACCACTGACGAGACCCAGAAGATAGAAGCAGCGCTGTCTGGTGCTTCTCCAGATTTGCCAGCGCCCGTTGACTGAGTGACAATGATGAATTACCTATGATCAGACAAAAATCCCACTACTCATAAGTAGTATTTTCGTCTTTCAATGACATCCCAATGTTTCTCCGTCACCCCTCCAATAACTAGAAGTGGAGTGAAGCTGAGGTGCAATAGGTGTTCAATAGCTATTTGGATCCAAGTATGAACTCTACATTGAAAAAAGTACCAGGTTTACATTAGAGGATTAGTTGATGCTCAAACGTTTGAAACGGCACACGTCATGCCTAGTGGTGTATAGAGAGTTGCCACACGCCGCAAAGGATAAAGTTGTGTTCGCGTGTCGTCCGAATTCTTTGGGGCGAATTAGTAACGTGGCAAAACAGATGTTCAAGTCTATCCAAATGCCACCAACGGATTGCAGGCGACTGAGCTGCGTTGAGCAATATGGCATTTTCTTATTTACAATTCAATTTCCAACAGTGTTACTCAGTAGAACCACAGCATGAAAACAAATGTCTATTGGTGGTTTTAGAGTCACGAGTTAGGGGAAGTGACAGTGAGTTATGCGACCACATAGTGAACAACCCACGTGAACAGTTTTTCCGTCCGAGCCTCGAGACCCAGGTTGACCAGGGGAACCCGCACAACCGACACCGCCAGGTTGCCCGTCCTCACCTTGAGTAAAAATGGCTGTGGAGAGGGAATAGAATGTGAACACTAAGCCAACGGGTTAGCATGAGCAAACCAACTTGGCGCGTTATGCACAGTTATCAAACACACTTTCCTCGCAGGCCACCAACATATCATCGATCTCCAGCACGGCGACTTGGGAAAAAAATGAAATGCACGGGATGTGTCGGAAAAGTTCCACAACTGCTATCTTAAAACATTCATTTCAAAACAAAACTTTACACTAAGAGTTCTCTTCAAATTAATTACCCCAGAGTCGAATGCTCATTCCATGCTTCTCTGCCACACTTGCATGCACCCATGGAAAGTATATTTTGAGATCCTCAGCAGCACCGTCATCATGGTTTTTAAAGTTGTATACTTCATCAAAACGGGTCCCCTTGAAGGTAGCAGGTCGATTCATCCATATCGTTTCACCAATAGGTTGATCCATCCCTAGATCGCTACCTATTCGCTCGTTTCAAGTCATGCACAGATAATCGAACTTCCGAAGTCGAAACGTTTCTATTGTGGCTGTGTTCATCAGGAGGAATCAAAATACGACCTCAACCTGTTGTACTTGTTGCTGTACACTTGAGTTTGGAACTTGCAGCAGCGCCAGTGATGATCTGCTTATACATGGGACTTGTGGGACCAACATACGTATGTGCAGTTTACTAGAGTTTCTGAAACGACCAAACGCTGTCGTTGAGATAACGCATAGATAATGATCTCAATAAAAAGGACTGCCTCCAAAATCTATGGTGCCATTTACAACGTATCAATTAAATATACAAACAAACAATTGTTCGCGTTCTGAGGTCGACAAGAAACAGCGCTGTGGTAGAGCCCAAACGTCAAGCCTCGAGCAGACAACACTGCAAGTGAAACACGTGCAATTTTCGAGGAATCACCGGACACATACTTGTTCCTGATTAGAGATGGTATACACCAGGAATTGATCTCATGGTAAGCAGGAATGCTGGGTGCACATCATGGTCAAGGTCACTCAGAGGACACTGAGTCCGAAACAATAGCACAGGGACACAATAAACAAACATGGTTGGCAGCAGGCGTTTCCGGATTTGCTTGCCACTGCGACCTCCACGGGGATAACCACAGGACGCGTGCTCCCATAGAGGGGACCATGGGTGGTTTGCGCTGCACCACCCACAGTTCCAACCACACACCCCATATCCAGTGTAAACACGAAGGAATAAGACCGGGAGGCATGTGGATGGGAGCCACGTTTCATCAACGAAGCCGGTCCACACTCCTTCACAGGCAAACACAAGCACGTTGTAATTGGGGAACCAACCGCACACAAGGCGGTGGCTGAACCGTAGTCCGCTCCACACTGAGCGCATGGAACCACTCTTCGAGCTTAGCACAGCCACAAGGATTGTGCACCCTGCCACCTCCAGTAACGACCAACTGTCTCAAGGAACCAGTATCGACGACGTGGTGGGTATTACACAGATAGGCACCTTGTCAACATGCATATAAAACGCAGCAACACCGAGGATGTCACAACAGCTAATCACTTGAAATGACATTATCAAAAAAATATACCTGTTAAAGCATACGGTTATACAGACATAACTCTTCGCTCAATCAGCGTATGAAACAAGTTGGTTAGCAACGAATCCGCGTTAAGTACAAAATGTCCACAAGTTGTTTAAAAACGCCACAAATGCGACAAAGTTAGCGAACTTAACCACAATTATCGTAAGCAAAGTGTGCAAGTAAATAGATTAGTCAGGTAGGCAGAACAAACAAATAAAGTGGAATGAAATTTATCCAGCTTAAAAAGATCTATTTCACGTGTAAGTTGGTTTAGCCCAACAGCGGTGAAGAAGCAGCATGAATGTAAAATCGGCTTCAGCACAATGAAGGAGAAGGAGCGCATCAGTGCATAAGTCTCGGTGGCCACAAAGTGAGAATGGTTCTTGTGGGTCAGTGTTTCGCAGATAGTGAACACATTCAGACAGGTAAACAGTTATCGACGATATGGGTAGCCGCCGAGTGAATGGTGATTGTGGGTTAGGAGAATTTTCAATGTAAATTCAATTTCCGCAACAATCTCCTTCCCACGTTTTGTGTAGGCAGTTACAAATGCTGCATTTACAATGGTTTAAACACAGATAGGCTGCACACTTCTGGCAAACTTAAAAGGATCGTCACACAGTAGACTACAGTCCTGCACAATGTACCGTGCTGAATGTTGCAGATGGTGCTAACTCAGACACAGTGTCAAGATGAGATGCGATGCCATCTGTGCTTGCGTAGGTAGATGGACGGATGGAAGGACCAAAGTCATGCAGTGAACTGTCCCACCATGTGTTCCAGTATAAACCGGGGGATTAGGTAACCAGTCAAAACGCAGACCAAACCAGAGTGAGCAATTTACTCAAGCAAATGGAATACAATACAATGAACGGCAGCCTGACTTAAACCAGCACGCCTTACGTTCATTGCAAAAACTTCCCAGCTTTGTTGCGATAATCGAATTAAGCCGAATTGTGCAGTATAAGAAAGTTAAGGGAACGAAAGTACACAAACACATAACATTAGTTCAGTCTTAACTGCTACTTTGGAGCTCCTTGATATTAAACAGTTATTCCTTACTTAAAAGAATGTGACATAGGTAATGTGAAATTACTTAATCAGGTGCAACTGTGTAAAGAACAATCGTGGTACCAGCCACTATGGGGATGAAAAGACCGGGTATGGAAGGGCCTGGGATTGAAAGGACTAGGGATGAAACGGCGGGGATGAATCAACCTGGAACCACTTTGAGCGTGGGGAAAAGGAAAATATCAAACGGAGCAAGGTTGAGTGAGCAGGGAGGCTGCTTGAGCACAGTGATGCTCTCGGCGTTGTGAGCAGGCGCGTTATGATGAAGTAGCCATGAGTTATCCCGCCTCAACGCTAGCCTCATCCCATCCAATGAACGATACAGACATTGCAGTGTCTCTTTGTGGTCGTGTTGGTTGAGCGTTTGGCCGCATTGCGAAAACTGGCAACCGAGGATCACCAGATATCAAAGAACGTGATCAACTTAACTCTGAGTTTGGACCTAGACTGTCGTGCTTTCTTCGGTCTTGGTAACTTCGGACTCCTTCACTGAATTCTCTGGGGTTTGATCTCCGGGCGGTACTGGAAGATCCACGACTCATCCCCGAGGATAATTCTCCGTATTAAGTACGTTTCGATTTCAAAACGATGTTAAACTTTTCCCTAAGTTCAAGAGGGTCATCAATAGGACTCGTTTTGAAGACGTGGACACCGAAAAGTCCGTAATGACAGAGTTGCGGAGGCGACAGGAAGAGTTCTTTCAAGAATGTATGCCAGAGTGACAGTAAAGGAAGGGAAAGTGCATTAGACTCCGTGGGAATTGCGAAGAGGGGTAAAACAATTAGTGGGACGTCTGGATTTTGAAATAAATGATAGGGTCTTCAGTTCGGTCGTTACCGTTCACTGGAACATCGCTGCAACGGATTTATAAATTTTCACTAAATAATACTTCTGAATCTTCTTCTATTAGATTAGTCACAATGTAATTAAGATTGCCTACTGCCAATTTCTTGAAGTGTTTTGAGACGCCACGTGTACTAGGTGAAATTATCGGAAACGGTTTTGTAACTTGAGGCATCTTCGGATCGATAAACTGGACATCGACATTGCATCGTCAACACGAGGCGGAATCGGGGCAGTTTACTCGAATGATGTGTTTTTAATCCATTTTTCCAGCGGTATAATTTTGTATTGCTAAGAAGGTTGCTTCCAAACATCTGCAGTAGTTACTGTAAAAGGCTGAAATGCACTCACTCGGGTACATGCAGCTTTGATTGACTTGACTGGTGACACCAGTACTGGAGCTTTGCTAACATGTGTCGTATTTATGAAACCGTTCCGCTCATCACCAACCGCCTAAAAGAGAATTCCGACCCAGTCCGAATCCTATGTCCTATATCAGTTCTCTTACACCGGTGGTGAGAGATAGCTCGGACACACGACCAGACATCTGTCAAAGCGTGATACCACCGGAGATGTCCACAGCTCCACCCTAGAACACCTAGTAGATAGTGGACATAACATACAAACGAAAGAGGCCTTAAATAGTGTAGGTAGCAGCAATACGTTGCACAAATGGTCTCAGGAAGAGCTTACTGGCCACAGCACTGGATTATTATATTGTCTGTTTCCCAAGTAGCTCTCTGCTGTGTATAGCAATGCATATTTCTACTTGTCTTCTACAGAGTACATAGATTAGCCCCTCCGTACACAGTTAAAAACGTTGATCCAGAAAGTTTCTGTAATGGTCGATGATTGTCATCTATGCAAATGAGAGTGTGTACATTGGTACACATTATTTGAAAACAAACGTTTTTGTGTGTACATATGTACACATTGTGTAAAAGGGGTTAGAGAGCATGGAGATTGTTCAATGTGTCAAACCTTTCCGTCAGTACGATTCGTTTGTGACCAATGCAACGTCAATCATTGTTGCGGTATCTATACACTCAGCGTCTGGCGCTGTCTGGATTGACGACATGATGCATGACGGCGGCAGTCCAATGATCGGCATTTCTCTCTCTCGCTTCAAATCCATTAGAATTTGGTGCGTCAAAATGCCAAACATCCACACGGTCGCCATACTCACACATCCAGATCAAGTGAGATTTATCGTAGAACAGAAACAACCGGAAAACGATGGCTGCAAGCAAACGGAAAGTAACTAAGCACTGTTAAGGTCTTTGACAGCAATATGGAATCACCTGCATCTCCATAGGATATTAACATGAACCCGGGACAAAATTCCTTCTTCGCGTAACATGTGCAAAAGCCAACATGTATGCTAATTCCCCTGCATAGGTGTACTCAATTTAGCCTCACCCTGGATGAGATGCTAGGAAAATGTGAACAACTAATAACTTTAAGAATGATTGAATTTGCCGCACCACATGTACAATGTTGTATTGCATGCTCAATAAACAGAATACCAGTCGAGTAACCAG